TTTGTACCATTGACTGTATCATGTTTCGATGAAGAATTATGTTTTTTGATAATTGTTCTGTTGGCATCTTTTTTCGTAAACGTGATATAACTGCATTTTTAGGTAAAAGCTAAAAAAAAAGAAAAGTATTCAGACTATATAGATATTTCATTGAAAATTTTAGGTCCGCAACACTTTGCCGACAAAAATTTGAGGGTATGGGAACATCGGAAATAGAACATACCCATACTCATATCCACCTACTTATCCCCTCACCACACTCACACCCACATCCTTATCCATTTTTATCGGTAAAATAAAACCTGTCGGCAAAGTGATTACGTCCTGAAAATTTTACCTGTTCATTCATAAGAAAATATTCATTTGCAATTTCTGAAACAGTACTTTTAATTTGTTTACAGATTTCATCAACAAATGCATGAGCACTTTTTAAACTTAAATCACCAATTTGTTGTCGTTCTTCTGGACATAATTCATGTGTTGCATTTATAAAATGTTGACAAATTAATGGAAATGCAATTGCATAACGTATTTGTGATGGATAATAAATACATGATGAAAATAAATGATCAAATTGTGTTAAATAAAAATAAAATATTGATAAATCACTTGTTTCATATAATAATGTTTCGATATCGTCAACACATTTTGAATGAAAACAAATTGTATTCATTGTTTGAGCAAAATGTTCATTATGTGAAAGTGATATTAATGATAATGATGATTTTTTTGTTACACTTGTATATGCTTGCATACGAAACCAATCAAGACGTAATGCACGTAAATCAGCACTTGCTGTTGTTGATAATGTTGTTATTGTATTATAAAATGATGTTAATAAAATTGATTCATCTTCAGTACATGACATATTAAGATTTTTGATATTTATTTGTAATTCATTCGAATCAAGTGTTGATAAACATTCAATATAATATTGTTTAATTACAGAAGAATATGTTGTAATTAAATGACGAAGTTCCTCTAAATAGAAAAATAACAGAAATAAAAAATCTAATGAATTGATTTTTTTGTACCAATATAGAATAAAAATTCTGGATATGTTCGATCACTATAATCATCTCGTGTTGTACCAGTTGTTTTTTTATTTGCTTCTTTTTGAAGTTTAGTTGGAAAATTTTCACTATGTCGTAACAACCAAACGATTTCATCACGTGCTAAACTTAGTGCAGTAAAAGCAGTTAATAGTTTCGGACCTAAAATAAATAAATATAATATTTCATTGAAGAAATTCACTATCTGCTGTAGTTAGAAGATTATTTTAATTATTAAAAAAGATTTAACGATTGTGCATCTAATAAAAAGTGATTTCGAAATATGCTATACTTAATATTTCAATTGATATTCGTACTCTTATAAAGAAGTATGGTTGAAGAGTTAATGATGTTACCTTGCGAGATAAAGTATTGTCATTTAAATCACAAATCCGCATTTTTATCTTGATCTATCGTCATCTTTATTCAGTGACCACGAAACGTGCAGAAGGTCCGGGGTATGTGGTTGTAGAGGTCTATCGCAAGGAGCAACGGCTGATTTAAATTAATCAAAAATCAAAATTAAATCACTGAAATCACAAATCGCTTCCCCCCCCCCCCCCCCCCCCCCCCTTTAAAATTAAAAAAAAAAAAAAAAAAAAACCATAAAAACCAAAACCCCCCCCCCCCCCCCCCCCTTGGTTACAGATCTTTTCTTCGTTAAAGTTCGAGCAGTGTTTATTATTACTCATAAAATATATATTCTCATTGTATTGTACTGATAATTATTTCAAAGAAAAAATTTCGTTATTTACCAAGTAACGCTGGTTGATCTGCAAAAATTAAAGCCAATTCTTTTAGTTGTGGTCGAATATATTTTCGTCGTTCACGTCTATATAAAGGTTGTTCTGTCATTGCCTTTTTAAATGTATCATTCAATAATTCTGTTAATTTTAATTGTCTGTATGATTTATAAATATCTAAATTTTGATGTAAATATTGATGGGTTAATAATAATTCATCTCGATAAAGTACATGAACGAAACTATTCGATAAAGCTTTTTCAAATAATTGCATACATTTCGAATTCATAACCAATTGTTGTGGACATACAATTAATGTATAAATAATCCAACGTTCAATTGTTTCCTGTGATAAATATTCACATGGTAAAGTTTCTGATGCATCCATTAAATGAGCTGTTTGAGGTGTAGCAAGTAAACTAAGTAAAGTTTTTGCACGCCAATCTGATACTTTACATGTACGACGATCATATATTGGTGCTAAGGATTGTATAGCATCACCAATTGAACGTACATGAGGAACAAATTCATCATGTAATTTACGTAATGGTTGTTCATAATCAATTATCATTTGACCAAGACGTGGAAAACTTGCATCACCATGACCATGTGTTAAATCTGTAGCTATATTATAGAGACCAAGAACTACTTTACGATCATCAACACGTGATAAAAGAATCATAAGTGATATATATGTTGAAATTAATTCTAAATATGATTTTGTTAAATCGTAATTAAGTGCCTAAATTCACAAAAACAAATTAATTTTTGACAAATTTTAATTAGATACGTACAATATCAAAATGAACTTGACATGCATCGATAGTAGTTAATAAATCAGTAACGTGATCCTAAAGAAAAAAAAGATAGAATTTAATTAGAAACAGAATATGATAAGAAAATAAAAAGTAATTTACTCGAAATTCTAATAGATCAACAAATGTAAAATAATATATTGCAAGTGATTTGATTATATCAGTTTTAATAGATGTGAGTGATTGAAATTGACTCTAGAAAATAGTTTATTAGAATATGTATTGAATAAAAACAAAAATATATACTTTATCAACGGCTGGAAATTTTTTTTGTATCTGACGAAGAACCGATTCGAGATTTTTATCAAGTAGAAATGATGGTTTCGATTTTGTTTCAGCACATGCCTAGAATAAAAAAACATATTTGTTAACATTCATCTTTTTTATAAAACAAATAAAAATTACTTTTTTAATATTAAATATTCTCGTTAACATTCCAATTCCTCGATCATTGAGAATCGTTAATTTCTCTGCTAATTTTTGTTGATGAGGATTAATTTGATGTGCCATTCTCTCTTAATCTAGAACAATTAAAAGAAAAAAAAACAGTTTATAAAAATCATTAAATCGTTTAATAACACCAAAAAAAAAAATAAAAGATAGAAGAAAGAAAATTTAATTTGAAAGACAATCAAATACTGTTATTGTTTTATTCTTATCACAAAGGTAATATTGGCACATCGAGTAAAGATTTCATTAAATTAGTTCCATTAATAAAATGTGTAGTTGCAATAATAAAATCATGATTTTTATCCGCTAAAAATCTTAATGCAGCAATTTCTCCATATGTTATTCCGCCAATAAAAACAACTAAAGTTACTTTTGATTCTGTACTTTGTTGTTGTGTTTGTCGTTGAGGTTGAATTGGTTGTTTAGTTGTTTTATTTAATGAACTAAGTGATGTTGTTGAACCATGTCTATGTCGTTTTAATTCCATTGGTACTTGTTGTGTATCAATAAATGTTGTACCAGGTAAAATATTCATTGCATCTTGAATATTATTTGTTGTTGGAAAAACAATTTTCTCTATTAAACGTACACTTATGGGTGCATATTGATAATAAATATAATGAATATCTTGTGGTTCAACAACATTAACTGCTTGATCTTCTTGTAATAAATTAAATTCACGTTTTAAACGATCAAGATTTGTTTCATTTGTTCGAATTGTTGATGATGGTTTATTCGGATCGGATAAATATATGATTCCAATTTGTTCAAGTGCATGAATTAAAACAAGATATTGTAAACCAAATGTTTGAATAATATCTTTTTTTATTAAATCATAATCTTTACGTTTTAATTGTGGACCTAATGCATGTGTTATAATAGATAAATAACGTAATATACAAAAAATATTATCTTTCCAGGCAATTCGTTCATCAATTTGACGTAAAGCATCTTGTACAATAGGTGAAAATAATATGGATAATTGATTAGCTAGATACATATCATAATTAGATGTTAATTCATGTTTAATACA